CAGCTGGACTTGGCTTGCTAGTATTTTGTTGATGATTTTTTGCATTTTTATTCATAAGTAATACTGACATGTAGTTTTTGTTTTGTTTTTCTCTGGCTTTGGTATTTGGGTAATACTGGCCTCATAGAATAAGTTAAGAAGTATTCCCATGTATTCTATTTTTCAGAAGAATTTGAGAGAGATTTGTGTTAATTCTTCTTTAAATGTTAGGTAGAAGTTATTAGTGAAGCAATCTGGTTCTGGTCTGTTGTTGTTGTTGGAAGTTTTTGATTACTGATTCGATCTCCTGTCAGAGGTCTGCAGACTCTGTTTCTTCTTGAGTCAATTGGGTAGTCTGCATGTTTCTAGGAATCTGGCCATGTCATCATCTAGGTTGTCTAATTTGTTGGTACATAACTGTTCATAGCAGTCTCTCGTAATCCCCTTTTATTTCTATTAAGGCCATTAGTAATGTTCCTACTTTCATTTAGCATTTGAGTCTTCTCTTTCTTTTCTTAGTCAATCTAGCTAAAGGTTTATCAATTTTATTGATTTTTTTCAAAGAACAAACTTTTGGTTTCATTGATTTTATTATTTTCCTGTCCTCTGTTTTGTTTATCTCTGCTCTAATTTTTATGATTTTCTTTCTTATGTTGCTTTGGTTTAGTTTGTTCTTCTCTTCCTGGTTCCTTAAGCTATAAAGTTAGGTTACTAATCTGAGATCTTTCTTTTTTAATGTAGGCATTTATAGCTGTAAATCTCCCCCGAGCACTGCTTTCAGTGCATCTCATGAGTTTTGATATGTTTTGGTTTTGTTTTCATTTGTCTCGAAGTGTTTTCTAATTTTCTTTGGGATTTCTTTTTCCCATTGGCTGTTTAAGAGGAGCCTAGGATACTTTACAATCCAGAAGGTCAAAGATAAGTTTCTTCTTGTCACCCCATAGCTGTAGACCCACCAAGCGGAAGCTTAGGAGACCCTCTTCCTTCCCTGTTGTGGGTCCCTTGGCCTGGCTGAAGGGTGGGCTCGCTCTAAGTAAGCCATGTGGGCTGCCAAGAGACTGTCTCATCATGAGCCACTCATGACCACAGGGACGTGCAGTGTTCCCAGAGAGGGCTCTGTACTCCTTAGTTCTTGCTGGGTAAGTGAGCTCATGATCTTTGATGGAAAGAACAGAAACATGAAGAATTTATATATCATTTATATCGTAGATATGATGCACCATTCAAATGCATGGAGTAGAATACATATCCTGTTCTCATTAAGCCTTAGAGTTATTTAATGGCATGCAGGTATTGTCATCATCCCCATTTTCCAGATGAAGAAACTGAGGTACAGAGAGATTAAACAAGTTTTGTAGGATCATATAGCTATTAAGAGGTGGTACTAGGATTTGGGCCCAAGCTATGTGCTCCTGAGTCTGTGCTGTTAACCATAATACTATGCAGTCAAGTTTATTAACATGACTAAGCCTGCCTCCTTATTAACAGTTAATAAGCCCTCCTTATTAACTTCAGGGCTGTCGTGAGGGTTGAGTGTTCAATGAGTGTGAAACAGCCCTGTGAGTGAAGACAACCAGCTTGGAGGGCTATGAACTGGCAGCCCATGGTCGTGTGTACAGTTGACCAGAATTAGGGTGATGGGGCAGTGGTAAGGCCTTGAATTCAAGTCGGGCACTTTGCCTCCAGCAAGCATGAGTCCCCACACACAGCGGCAACAGAAGACTTTCAGGAGACTTACGTGTGCTGATGTTCTCCAGCATAGTCTCTCCACCCAGACAGGCAGAGGTCCTTTTATTTCTAGATAACAAAACTTTGCTGGTGGATATACTGCTAACATGCAGGAGATGTGGAATTTGAACCCAGGTCCAAGAGCCGGTGCCGCCTTAGCTACCACATTCCCTTACTCATTCTTACTGTTGCTCCCACGTCCTGTCCCGCCCACTTCAGAGCTGCACTGGACAATTCAGTATTCCTGGAACGCTGCTCTTCTCTCCACCACATGTAAACATTCCCTGCCTGACTCATGGACTAGCTCTCATGCCGCCTACACCACGAGCCTTCCTATTCCAAACCTGGAAATGTAATCTCATCGCCACCTCCTGGGATGGGATCCTCCGCAGCCTTGTATTCCCCACGTTGGTATTCAACATCCTAGTATAGTTTTCTCCTTCCCTACACTTGCTAGGGTGGAGGAACCTTAAGGGCTTAGCCATGTAACCCCCACTGCTCCATAAAGCCCTTTCGTAGTGTGTTCCCTGTAGAGTTGGGCACTGTGCAGCTATGTGACAGGGATGGGGTGGGCAGAGGGAGTGCCAGGCAGAGGCAAGAGGCCAGAGCATCACACCAGAGAGCTCTGTAGGACTCTCCATTCTGGTCATTTAGTCATATACGTAGCAGTAACTAAGGAGTGTGTCTATTACAGAATTGTGCACCAGTCAGTTTCAGATCATGGCTTCCACCAGGAGTTCTCATAAGAATCTCTGTGGAAATTCATAGAAATACAGAATGTCAGGCATCCACTGCAGACCTGCTGAGTCTGAGTTAGAATCTCTGGGAGGTAGGACCTGGGCAGTTGTAATTTTTAAGGCTTTACATCGTGACAAACAGTAACATTGGTGACCTACAGGGAGGGAAGGTGAGAGGAGGACTATTCATATTCGTCCTTTTTGAATTTTGAACCAGGTGATGATATTATGTGTTCAAAAAATAAATTATGGGGCCGGGCAAGGTGGCTCACGCCTATAATCCCAACACTTTGGGAGACCGAGGTAGGCAGATCACCTGAAGTCGGTTCAAGACCAACCTGACCAACATGGAGAAACCTCGTCTGTACTAAAACCACAAAATTAGATGGGTATGGTGGCGCATGCCTGTAATCCCAGCTACTCGGGAGGCTGAGGCAGGAGAATCACTTGAACCCAGGAGGCGGAGGTTGTGGTGAGCCGAGAGCGCACCATTGCACTCCAGCCTGGGCAACAAGAGTGAAACACCATCTCAAAAAAAAAAAAAAAACTTTAAAAACCATAAGCTTACTGAAATACTGTATGTTGTCTATGTTTACATATCTCTATAGTAGGAGGAAAGGCATTAAAACGTGCCCGGAGATGGTGGCACACTGCTGCGGGGGAGGGAAAAGGTGGAAGGGGAGGGTTTGGTTCCATTCGTAAAACGTTTTCTTTCTTTAAAAAGAGACACTTGAAGCACAATGGCAAAATGTATTCAATTTATGAGCTAAGTATACTGGTATTTGTTATGTTATTTTATAGTTAACAAATATTTAAAAGTAAAACAAAGTAAAAGTTTGAATGTTTATATATAGTTCCCACGTCCTCCTAGCTAGTGACTAAGAGACTATAGGAAATGTGAAGTGCAGGCCTGCGGCACTTAACAGCGGGGAGTTGTTCTGAGAATCGTGCTCTCTAGGTGATGTCGTCCTTGCAGGAACATCACAGAGCGCATTTACACAGACCTCGATGGTGGAGCCTCCCACACACCTAGGCTATGTAATGCAGGCTATGTAATATGGGCTGTGTAATACAGGATATTGTGCCTAGTGCACACACCTGTACAGCATGTTACTGTACTGAATACTGCAGGCAATTATAACACAATGGCATTTGGGTATCTAAACATAGAAAAAATACAGTAAAAATATGATATAAAAGAGAGAAAATGGTACACGTGTATAGGGCACTTACCATGCATGGAGCTTGCAGGACTGGAAGTTGCTCTGGGAGAGTGAGTGAGTGGGTGGTGAGTGAATGTGAAGGCCTAGGACATTACTGAACACTATTGTAGACTTCATAAACACTGCTTAGACTACACTAAATTGATTTCTTAAATGTTTTTTTCTTTTTTTTAATAATAAGTTGACCTTAGGGCCAGGCATGGTGGCTCAGGCCTGTAATCCCACAGCTTTAGGAGGCCAAGGTGGAAGGATTGCTTGAGACCAGGAGTTCGAGACCAGCCTTGGCAATCATAGTGAGACCCGGTATCTACAAAAAAATTAAAAAAAAATTAATTAGCCACATGCAGAGGCATGCACTTGTAGTCCTTCCTACTGGGGAGGCTGAGGCAGGAGGATCACTTGAGCCCAGGCATCTCAGGCAGCAGTGAGCTATGATGGCGCCACTGCACTTCAGCCTGAGCCATAGAGTGAGACCCTGTCTCAAATAAATACATACACAAAAATAACCTTAGCTTAATGTAACTTTTTACTTTTATAAAAAGTTTCTTTTTTAATTTTTAAAAATGTTTTGACTCTTTTGCAGTAACACTTAGCTTAAAATGAACACATCATATAGCTGTGCAAAAATATTTTCTTTCTTTACATTCTTATTCTATAAGCTTTTTTCTAGGTTTAAAGTTCTTTACTTTTTACTTTTTAAACTGCTTTGTTAAAAACTAAGATACAAACACATTAGTCGCGGCCTCCACTGCTTCCACCTCCACATCTTGTCCCCCTGGAAGGTCTGCAGGGGCCATACGCCCATGGAGCAGTCACCTCCTGATAACAAGGCCTTCTCCTGGATACCTCCTGAAGGACCTGCCTGAGGCTGTTTCACAGCTAACTTTTTGTTTAATAAGTAGGAATATACTCTAAAATAACGATTAGAAGTATAGTATAGTAAATATATAAACTGGTACCGTAGTCGTTATCAAGTATTATGCACTGTGCATACTTGTATGGGCTTGAATTTTATGTGACTGGCTGGGCGGTAGGTTTGTTTACACCAGCATCACACCAGACACACAAGTAAATGCGTGGAGCTATGCCATCACACGGCGATGGGAATTTTTCATTTCCATTATGGTCTATGGAACCACAGTTGTATACGTGGTCCATGGTTGATGAAACATTATTATGTGGCGCGTGACTGTATTGATCACCCTCACTGATAATTAGAATCAGGGTCTTCCCCACATTAATAATATCGGTCACACATGAAACACGAATAGCAGCGTGGGTCAGTTCTCTGGCCAGCACGCCTTTCCTAAGTATTTGTTTCTTTTTGTTTCAGGTGTTTGTGGCCAGTCCTCACAAAACACAGCCTATTGTGGAGATTCTGTTAAAAAATCAGCCCAAACTCATTGAGTTTCTGAGCAGCTTCCAAAAAGAAAGGACGGATGATGAGCAGTTTGCTGACGAGAAGAACTACTTGATTAAGCAGATCCGAGACTTGAAGAAAACGGCCCCTTAACGAGCTCCCCGGCGCCCATCACAGTCATTCGTCTCATTTGTCCAGTTTGTACAACATGTCATTTCAAAGTCATCATTCTTGGGAAGACTTTGGAGGTGCCTATTTTTTCTGTTTTAATTGTTCTGGGTAGACAGAATATAAACATGTGAATGGAAAAAAATTAACCTAGAATAATATATTCATTTTAATCAAGTCTGTGATTATTTATGTGAAATCAGAGCCATTGTAGTAGATGTTGATAAAAGCAATTTTAACTTGCAGACGTGAGCCTCTGGTCACCATGAGCCATTAAATGGGAGCTCAAATGACAGGCATCACCAACTCCTCAAGGAGGACTGAGTTCTCAGGGGAGAACTGGGAATGGGGCCAGAGTGTGAAAGTGCTTTGCCCGTCTGTAGGTAGACACACAGATGGCTCAAGGCACCGAGAGATCCCAGAAAGTAACATTAATGTTTTCAGTCATTGTGTGTCCTTCGTTTCTGCCCAGTGTCTTTGAACTGAAATCATGCGTTCACACCTCTCGGGATCCAGTGGCCCCTCTCAGCTCGATCTCCCCTCACTCCCTGTCCCGCATTCCGTCCCAGCTCCTCAGCCTGGCCCCGATGCCTCCCATGTTCAGCTGAGCAAACGAGCAACTGAATGGGAACAGGATGAATCAACAAGGGTCCCAAGGAACAGGGGACCCACCGAGTGTGACCCGCTCACTGGAGAACTGCAAACACATGGCTCTGGAGAGAGTCACGGCTGTTCCATATTGACTTCCAGAGGTTAAGTGAGGGACAGAATAGTTCCTTCATAATTGTCATGGGTGAATGCTTCCTGCGGTCAGTGTGTTTTAGAGCACGAATCACCATAGTGGGGTGCCCAGCAGGCACAAAACCATGGGTCCAGGAGTCTCAGTGGGGAACTTTTATCAGTAGGAGGACATAACCATAGGAAGGAGAAATGATTTCATGTGTGGAAAAATTCTCAAATCAATACATATATTTTTTTCAGTTTGTTTTCTAATAAGCTGTCATTCTAGCATTGCTCATCATAGTCTTTAGTGAAAACATAGAAAACCTATACAATTTCGGTCCTGAATAGTCTCTTACAACTAGCATGATGGAGGTGTTAATTCATCTTCCTTATAAAAAGGCATGGAATCAAAAATATTTTAAAAGACCATGGTTTCATTTCAGACATCAAGCATCTAAAATGGGATTTTAAAGCAATATTTTACAAGACATTCAAAGCACAATTGTTGAGCTGTATTCTTTATATTTCAGTTTCTAAATCATGCACTGCCTTCCACAGGAACCCTCCCTTTTTACAATACTTGTGTGTTGTGTCCTTTTTCTTCAGCCAGATATTTCTCTGACAGAGAGGGGAAGAGAAATGCGTTCTCCAGGATTGGTACCCTTTGTAGATTTTGTACCTAAAGAATTACCAGGCAGGGCACCACCCTTGGCTAGGCCCAGGTGTGTGTTTCTTCCTTGCCAGGCATGGGCCCTGAGGCAGGTGATGTGGGGTCTGCCACACCTCCCGTTCCGGCAGCCGTGGCCTCTCTGACCAGTGCCCACATGGGAGGCAGCTGGCAGCTTGAAAACCCATACTCTGGTCATTGAAGTCAGATTACTTTTTTGTTTTTTTTTTTTTTGAGACGGAGTCTCACTCTTGTTGCCCAGGCTGGAGTGCAGTGGTGCGATCTCGGGTCACTGCAACCTCTGCCTCCCAGGTTCAAGCAATTCTCCTGCCTCGGCCTCCTGAGTAGCTGGGACTACAAGCGCCCACCACCACGCCTGACTAATTTTTGCATTTTTAGTAGAGATGGGGTTTCTCCATGTTGGTTAGGCTAGTCTCAAACTCCTGACCTTAGGTGATCTGCCTGCCTCGGCCTCCCAAAGTGCTGGGATTACAAGTGTGAGCCACTGTGTCCAGCCCAGATTATTTTTTATAATACTCCGTGACAGTCCAGAGTTGCTTCAAATTGCACTTTTCTGGTTTTGCTTATTTAATTAACAGATGAGTGTAAGTATAAAAAAATGTAGGGAAAATAAATAGCAGTGGAAATGTATTTGGTTGCTGAATACTGCTCCACAACATCTTGGGACATATGTTTTCCTTTGGAGAGCCAGGCCTTGTTATTATTCTTTTCTGAAAAAGAAAACATTTTATTTCCTTTGGGCTTGCCTTAGCTCTTTCTTAGCAAGCCATTATCCAGCTCAGTACCTTGCAAACAGAAAACTAGAGTCTGGGGTTTCGTTGTGATCTGAATTTGTAAGTTATTAGTGTGAAAGGGAGAGCAGGAAGCTCACAGTCAGATTTGTTTGCACAAAGTTCACTGTAAATACTGTGAGAATTGAATTCTGAAAAGGTCATATTTAACGATTTCAAAAGCCCATGTTTAAATAAAGACGGACTAAATAAAAGGTACCACACACTCCTTGGTTGGTTTCATTCCATTGCGTGTTGTGTGGCTGTGTTTGTTCTTGGCACCGTTACAGGCAGGGAAAGCTTTCTGCTGCCCCAGGACCCAGCATACCTTCCTGTATGCCCCACCAACCAGTGACCCTGCTCCCGTCCCATCGTCCAAGCGACACTAACCACCACTGACCAGGCAGCACCTACCGAGCACTAAATCTACACATTCCACTGTTGATGCTTCCCATACCCAGGGGTCTTTCCTGTTTTATAATTGAGGACATTGAGGTTCTGAGTGGTTGAACAATCCCAGATCTAGTGTGGGATACCCTAGATACAAACCCACAGTGGCCCGAGGCCAAATTCCTGTTCTCTCTCTCACCTTTATTATCAATGCTGTGAACTAGGGACAGTCCAGGGCGTCAGACACCACGTGGAACTCTCCCCCACTGCTGCCTGGGAGGCTCCCCAGCTGGGAGGGTCCTAGCGTGAGGCCAGCAGGGACTGAGATCATGATGTTCTTGGACCAGGCTCTTGGCTGGGGCCAGGCGTCTGCCCAGAAGTTAGGGTTGCTCCTGGAGAAAACACTCAGGAGCACCCTCCCCTTGGAAATGTCCCAGACCCTCAGCCTCATGGGTGGGCCTCCTTTGATGGCTCTGGGGGAGCAATGTGGCTGTCCAAGGAGGGGCTGAGAGCTTTCCACATCCCCCTTCACCAGCCAGACTGGTGTGTCTGCATTTCCCGTGAGACACAGCTGCTGGAGCCATAGCACAGTCTAGAAATTACCCAAGACCTGAAAGTGATTGTAACAATGTGAAGGAAAATGAAACACACATTCCTGGAATCATTTTTAATGTGAAAAGATAGTTGTTTCAAAATAGATTTACAAATCTTGCTTGTCTGTTATATTAGAGGAGATTAAGATTTTATGTCTTTTACTTGTTTACCATTTTATCCAAAAGAATATCATACATGTGGCATGAATGAGAACTATCTCTGCATGGGTGTTCTTTCAGGAAGGTTTTGGATATTTGATTGGGGGCTTATAGTTGGATAAAGGTCTGAGATACATACTATTGGGAGACCCTGAAAACCTAGACTTAGTCTACCTAAAAAGACTGAAAAGACTGAAGATGGATGTGAACAAGGTGTGATTTCATTTTTGAAGCATGGAGACTGCTGTTATGTAGCTGCCATAATGAAAGCAGAGCAAAGCTGAGTGTTTGGCCTGGTCTGCACTAAGCCCGTACAGACATCTCACTCAAGCCTCCACCTGATGGAGGGAAACTTGGACCACAGAGAGGGTGAGCAATGCCCTTCAGATCAGACAGCTGGCCACAGAGCCAGGATTTAGAGCCAGGGCTGACCCCAAGGTCCACATCTTTGTAAACCAGGCTGCAAATCCAGGCCCCTCTGCCTGTTCTTCAGCTCTGCACCCCAGGACAGATAAATTCATCTCCTCACGGCCCCCACAGGAAAAGGAATTCTGGATGCCAGTGCTAAAGGATAACTTGGTGGAAAGATTTTGAAAGTTAGATTCATTCGAGGGGGTAACTTCACTTGGTGGTTTGATGTTTGGAAGATCTCATTAGACCTCTGTGTAGTGTAGGGACACTCAGTCTTGAACTTCTCCAATATTTTGAGCAGTCCCTCAACTTGACATAGGCATTAATTTCAGATTGCAGTGGGGGCAGTGGCTCATGCCTCTAATGCCAGGGCACTTTAGGAGGTGGAGGCAGGGGATGGGGGCGCAGGTATGGCAGATCGGGATTGCTTGAGCCCAGGAGTCCGAGACAAGCCTAGACAACATAATGAGACTTCATCTGTACAAAATAAAATTAAATAACAAAATATAAAACCTTTTTTTTTCAGATTGCCATTCTGCATCTGCCTTTGTTTTCTTGGCTTCCTTTTTCAGTTGGACATAATATTAGCTTAGATTTCCTGACAGGAGTGATTGCCACCCAGCCAGCTATTCCACCATTTCCCAGTGGTCCAGCACCCGTGGGCCACAGAGGCTGAAGTTCATGGTGGATGCACATCCAATACCTGCCAGCATCCCCGCCTTTCCTCCCAACTTCCTCCTCAGGGAGGAGAATATACAGTTACAATACCCTAAAATAAAGTCACCATGAAAACACACAAAAAGTCGCAACTCCTTTATCACCGACTAATGTAACGTAGATATAATTTAATCACTCCATTGAGAGCCATCTGTGTTACCTTAAAATGCTGTGATCATGGGGCCCCTCTGGGAGAACATGATGCAATATATGTTAATCATTCATCCTTTAGGGAAGGTTGGAAAAATAGGATCACTTTTAGTTTTAGGTCTGATACTTGACGCTATAAAACAGCCAAAATATTTATTCAAGTACTCATTTATTCATTCATTTAACACCTGTTGAACTCATCCTCCTTGCTGGTTAGGGATGGATCCTGAGACAGGACACGGAGTGACACACCAGGATGACTGTAGGCCTCATGTGCCCTTGGGAGCTGGGGGGGTCAGAAGCCTTTATAAGTCGGTCTCTGCAGCTGGCCTTGGGCTGAGTCAGCAGAGAAGGGAAGATAGATGGGAGGTGAGGAGCCCGGGAGGAAGAGCAGACCCCATTGCCGACCCCCAGGACGTGTGGGACCTACAGAAGGGCGGCACCCTTCAGTGCAGAGCCCCGGGACTGGGCCCACAGTGGCAAAACTGAAGAAGGAGGTGCAGGGAATGGGGACCCCTGACAGCAAGGGGAGCCAGAGGTCTCTGACAATGCCAGCCAGCTGTGACCACACCGGCT